GATTTGTGTATATTAATGTTATAACTCTGTTTTGTCAAATTATCCTACTGTTTTAGTAGTTTCTTTATTAGCTACTTTGAGATTTTATGTGTATAACCTTATCATCTGAAAACTGTTTTTCCTCTTCTTTTCTAATTATGCTTGCAACTGCTTTCTCTCATTTAATTACATTGGCTAAAACCCCCTACATAATATTAATAACCAGTGGAAATAAAATATACATTGACTTCTTCCAGACACTAATGTGAAAGCCTCTAGCCTTTCTCCATAAGTAAGATTTGGCTTTGCGTTACTACATAGAGAGAGAATTTTGGAAACAACAATGAACATGACAAAATTATTCCCAAGGGATTTACAGACTCATTGAAGGAGACTGACAAGGAAACAACCTATTTAAGTAGTATGATGACATCTACTATAGGGTCATACATAGATTGATTCAGAAGTACATTAAGAAAGGCACTTACTTCAATGTATGTTTTATTTCCACTGGTTCTTAATAATATGTTGGGGGTATTAGCCAATGTAATTAAATGAGAGAAAGCAGTTGCAAGCATAATTAGAAAAGAAGAGGAAAAACAGTTTTCAGATGATAAGGTTATACACATAAAATCTCAAAGTAGCTAATAAAGAAACTACTAAAACAGTAGGATAATTTGACAAAACAGAGTTATAACACTAATATACACAAATCAATAGACTTCATATTTATAAACAAAAAACTAATGAGATGATAAAGTGCAAGACACCATTTACAATAGCAAATAAATGAATAAGTAAATTAACTAAATCAATCAATCAAATGCCTAGACATAAACTTAACGAGAAATGTCTAAACCTTTACGACAGTCTTGGTGATCAGACACTGATGCCTTTTGACAGAGCCTATATCTAAGTTGAGACCCCAGTGCAATTAGGGTTAAGTAAAGATAAAGTGAAGAGAATGTCACATAAAAGTAGTAGCGTGGGGGAAAAGATAGGAGATAAAAGAGAACAGAACTCTATTTGGGAAACTAAAGTTCAGTTTAGTGAAAGGTGGGGATGAGAAGGAAGTAGAAAGTGGACAAAGTTGCATTAAAATGATGTCAAAAAATTTGAATTTATACCAGGGCTATGAGAATTAACTGGTGGTTTTAAATGTTTTAAGTAGGAGTTAAACTTGATCTGTGGTTTTAAAGTTTCTCCTAAAAGAGGTAACATGTATGTCCGTGACCCATTAGAGTTGTCCTTTGCCATGTAGCTTGCTTTGGCCAACAGGAGTTTAGTGGACAAGACACAATCAATGAACTTGTGGTTGAGTTTGTCCTCTTGAAATGTTTCCATTATCATGAGAAGAACTTGCCTTGAAGAGCTCACTGATTCAGACCAATAAGGAAAACACAGAGCAGGCCCGTATCAAATTTGCAGTTTGGAGCCAAGCCTAGGAAAGTACAAGTGAAATAAGTGAATGTTGTGTTAGCTCACATCTGCAGATGTGAGCATAAATTACAATATCATTATAAACCACTGAGTATTGGCGTAATTTGTTACACAGAAGTATTATAATAGCTGACCCATACAGAGAGGGAAACATAGAAAAGGAAAGCAAATGTGAAGATAATAAAAATCTTCCTGCTGAGGTAAAATGGTGGTCTAACTAGGATGATGCAGAAGAAACATAAGTAAAAGGGCAGTTTTGGGAGACGTAAAGGTGGTAGAAGTTAAAGGGCTCGGTGATTAGTTGGGTATCAGAGTTAGGGAGAAGGAGGAGGGAACCATGCCCAGGTTTCTTGCTGATGCAACTGGGAGAGCCATGTGACTCAGACCACAAGAAGAAGAGCAGGATCAAAGGTTCACTTTGATCATCTTGAATCTGAGCTATCACTGCACAGTCAACTGGAAATGTCCTTGACATCTGTCTATTCATCTATTGAGAATTAGAATAACATCCTGTGCCTCTACCTACCTCACAGAACTATTGTGTAGAACAAGCAAGATAAAACTCACAAAAGGGTTGGGAAAAATAAAAACCCACCAATCAACTGTGATAAGTAATAAAATTAAAACACTAACACTTTCACTTTCATGCTTCCAGATATAAAAAGCACACTCTAATTTTATTTTTGAAACCATGCTACTGAGTTTGTTGCTAGTCACACATTCTTTTTTATTTTCTGAGAGAAAGCAGAGCTGATGATTCTGAGAAACAATGTAAACAACGTATATATCTATATCTATCTATATCTATTCAAAGGCATGTAAGGAGAAGAATTTGTAGACAAAAAGATCCTCAGGCTGGTGGTCAGAAGAGCCAAGTTCCTCACTTGTGAGACCTTGAACAAATCACTAAGCTCTCTGGGCTGCTCATTCTTCATTTGTGAGATGAAGGTTTGTGCTCCTTCATTTCTAACATATCTTACTGTTCTTACATACATGAAATGATGGATTTGCTTAACATTTTGTGTTGTACTTACCTCCTATTAATGATATTCTTTAAACTGGATCTGTGATTTAGAAAAAACTTTCACACTTGCCCATCCTCACCCATGTTAGCTCAATCTTTATCAGCAACTTCTCTGTTAGAGCAAATTCAGCCCCTCGACTCTTTCTGTTACATACCACGCAGGAAAGCTTATTTTCATCTATGCGTGAAGGATGAGGATCTGGAAGGAGTTCTGATTGTTGTTTTTTTTTTCCCCACCAAGGCATGATTTCATTTACCACTTGTCAAGGTGGTAATGAGGGTCTCTGCAGCAGGCAACTGTGGCTGCCATCTGGCAGGCCAGTGCCACACACTCGGCAGACAGAACCAATTAGGCCCACACCTCCCATGAGGCCTTGCTGTGTTTGGTGGTTGAGTGTTAGCCCTGCTGAGCCTCTCACAAGAAACCTTGCTGAGTTTTTTTTTGGGGGGTGGGGTGGGGCACATCATCTCCCTCTGGCACTACAGAGCTATGAAGGTCCATGAACAGTTTACCCAATGAACATGCTACCCCTTACAGTGGCTGATACAGAGTCTATAGCAAGAATGGGCAGCCCATTGTGGTAGGGGATGTGTCAAAAAGCAAATTTCTATTTATAAGAGAAAAACTAAAAATGCCTTAAGTTCCCAATAATAAAGGATCAGTTAAACAAACCAAGTTATAGTCCTATGAAGGGATGAATATAGCTTGGACCTAGAACCTGGGCTTCACTTGTGGCTCTGTCAATTCTCGGTCTTAGGATATAGACAAGGCACTTGAACTCTCTGTTTCTTAGTTTCTTCACCTATGAACTGAAGATAATGTGTTCCTACCTCATCGAGTGCTTGAGAGTAGTACGTTAGTTAATAAAAGTGAAGAGCTTAGGGTAGCTCCTGGCACATAGTAAATGCTATCTAAGTGTTAATTCTGAGTATGACTCTCATAGAGCCATTATATAGGATGCTTAGGATGAATTGTTTGATGCTGCGGCAGAGTTTTTGGTATGGAGTGTATCAAACAGGATAACAAAGAGTATATACATCATGATTCTTGTTCTATATCTATTCATGGAGGAAAGAAGAGAAAGAAATATAGTGCAGTTTTTCTTCAGTTGAGTTTTTCTTTCTTCTTAATTATATTCTCCTTCCACTTTCCAAAATTTCTACATGAGCATATAATATCTTGTAATTAGAAACATCAATAGAAATTTTAAGAAGAGAAAAGAAGAGAAGAAAATCTGGGTAAACATCTTATCTGTGCTTTATCTCTTCCAAGACTCAGTTTTATCATCTCTACCACAATGATAGAAATAACCTCACAGGTTAAGTCCAAGGAGCAAATGATAAAATTTATCTGAAAGCGATCAGGCAACAGTAAAGTGTTTTATAACTATAATATTTTTACCAAGGTCATCCTTGGGGAGCAACAACAGATATATTAATGCCAGAGTCAAAATTAGGTAGAAACTCAAGTCTTTAGAAGTTCATAATAGATTATTATACCTCTGTAGATGCATTGTGTTCTGCTCCAACCAAGTCCTAAATTCAAGGACTCATAAAGAGAAAGCAAAAGAACACACTAACTGGAGATTAGGAAGCCTGAGTTTTGGCATAGGCTATGCCACTGACATTTTGGACGAGTCACTTTTATTTCTGGACCTCAGTGTCCATGTAGACTTTTCAGAGAATGGTCTGGGGTCCATCAGTGGGTTGTTAACCACTCCAAATTGTGATGTTTTTCAGAATTCTTATGAACAAAAGTCACAAATCATATGCTTTTATTTTTTCATATAACTAAACTAGCTTGTATCTAAGTGATTTAGTAGGGGATATTAAAATTATAAACTAAAAATAGTTATATTAGAGTGTACTGCAGAATCTAATTCAGTATTCCACTAAAATATCTGGCTGTCACGTAATGCTTGGCAGCACTGCAAACCTGCTACTCTATGTAGCCATTTAATTGCCATTCCAGCAATTTTTGGAAATGGTTCTTCGTTATCAATGAATTGTTAGTTTTGTTTTGATTTGGATCCAGTTTTTAATTGCTGCTATTCTCATTTTTTAATTACAAATTACTAATCATTTAGATTCATCATTATCAAGTTAGTTTGTTGTGGATCATTGTTTGGTTGATTCTTAACAGAGTGCAGTGATAAGATTTCTATGCAGATAGTTTTGGCTTGATAATTTTTGATACCTACATATGGTTGCACTGGATTTTGAAAGAAATGATCTCTCCGTGTAATATTAAAGAAGACAGACACTCTCCACCCAACCTACCCCAAATCTGTATGTACAATGATAGTTACGACTGTATGACCATAATTGAGTGAGCCATAGAGTAGATTGACCAGTTCAACTAGTAACAAAGATGCAATATATACAATGACCTCAAAATTTATTTCAGAATGAAAAATTTCATTCTAATTGCATTTTATGCAAAATTCATTAATTATCACTAGTACATATGTGTGTTAGTATAGATCTACGTTTCTATCCTAACTCTGAATTTTCCTGACTAGCCAATTACCAAGAAAAGTTCAGGTATTTGTCACTCACTCTGCCATCCAGAAATCTGTTACTGAGTGTCCCTGTTAGGAGTCTCTGGTTGTTCTCTGGTTCCTTGTTCTTCTCTGGGTGCTTGTTTTCTTCCACATCATCTGGGTCTTGATTGATTTGATGACCAGTGGGCTTACTAAGAGCTGGGGGGCATTGGGTCTCTGCTCATCTGCTTTGCATTACCAGTCACAGATTTCTGGAGCACTCTTTGAGTTTCTGCCTTCAAGTTCTCATTCTCCTTACTGTGAAGAAATGGTTTTGTACTTTGTTACTTACAGGGCAAATTTTCATGCACTAGACTGACTTAAGAAACAGAAGGTGTTTGTTGGTGTGAACAGTGTAAGCAAGCATGGTGGAATGAAAAAGTAAATGTTGGTTATTTGTCTATGGATGATTTACCATGGAGAGGCCATGTTATTTCCTTAAGCTTTATTTTCTCCTTCCCTCTTCTTATACTCAGAAAGATAATCTACCCATCTGCTCCCAAACTCCTACTGTAAGTAATGGCAGTGTCAAAAATGAACCCTATAGATTATCACATATCTCGCTTACAAGTCCCAAAGGTATTTTTAGTGTGTGTAACTACAAAAGGAAGAAAGTCAAGGCAGTTTGCCAGCTCCAGTTCTGCTCTCTGTCTGTCTTCAACTCCTCACCTTGAAGCTTCTTTTTCTCTCATTAGCCCTCCATTTAAATTTAATATTATATAACAAAAAGAAAAATTTATAGGAATTATTCAAAGAAATGCAAATAATAAACAAAATTTAAAACATTTTCAACCTTGTTTAATTACTAAAGACTTATAAGTCAAAACAACTACAGGCACCATTTTAAATATAGAAAGTCTTTTTGAAAATAAAAATGCTAATGGTATCATAAATAAATATAATTAATATAGTGGGTAACCCAACAAAATGTTTTAGTAGTCAGAAAGTTGAAACTCTTTAACCATACCCTCATGGACATGGACTGCAGTGTGGTGATTGTGCAGGGGAGGGGGTATAAAAAAGAAAAAAAAGAAAAAAAGAAAAAATTAAAAACTAAATATTTAGTAGGTGTATATGTTAAATATTTTATTCTATATTTATATGATTGACTGTATAGAGCCATTAAAATAGGAATAATTTTAATAACACAACAATGTCCACTCATACAAATAAGTGAAAAATACAATGTTAACTATGTACACAGCATAGTTATATGCCTGTATTTATGGGTGTATAACTGTATTTATGGGTGAGAGTATATAGTATATCTAGAAGGATATATGCCAGAAGTAAACAGTAATTATCTCTGGGTAGTAAAACCCAGTATATTCCGTTAGACTCTATTCAATTATATTATATCATTATATCTTATAATGCTATTCTAAATTTTCTAATGAGAAAGTATTATTTTATAATCAGGAAAAATAAATTTCAAAATATTTATGCCTTATATCTGGAAGAGATTCTATAAATTCTAGATGTTACTATTGGTACAGTAAAAAGGATCTATTTTAAAGCATGTCATGCTATCTGAGCATAAAACAATTGTCCCAATGTTGTTGATTTGAATAAAACGAAACCATAAGCAATGATTTAAATACATGTTTATTTTTTATAGTAATCCTATTGGTCATGGCAGCATGAGAAGGAAAGAAAGCCTAGGCAAGAATTTTGAGGAACACCTACATTTATAGGGGGAAGAGGAGTCTTAAGAGGAGATTTAGAAGAAATTCTCAATAAGGTAATGGGGAACCAGGAGTATGGATTCTAGAGAGAAAACATAATCAACAGTGTCAGGTACTTGAGAGAAAGGTAAGCTCTGAAAAGTGTCTATTGATTTAAGCCACAAGGACACCATTAGGAATCTTGATAAAGAAGCTTCAGTGAGGTGATGGAGGTGATGCTAGACTGAAGTGGGTTGAGAAAAGAGCAGGGACAAGAAACTGAAGACAGGAAGTATAAAGACCTCTATGAAGAAGTTTGGTTGCAAGAGGAGAGAGAGATGGGATCGTAACTGGGGAGCAATGTGGGTTTCAGATAGGGCTTTGTTAGTATCTTGTTGAAAGGTAGTAGGGACTTTAACTCATTTAAATCCCAGCAGTGAAAATCTGCCAGAGACAGAGAAAAGGAGAGGATATCATCGATAAAATAAGATGAACCCTGACAAAGTGAAATGGGGTGGCACTGAGACAGCAGAGGCAGAAATGAAACCTCAGGGTTGGATAATAGTGAGATAGGTGGAAATGTAGGCAAATTTATTTGTACATTTGGTGATAGGATGTAGATTAAATTCTGACAGCTTGGATTTTCTTTTTGATATACACTATAGAGTTCCCGGTTGGCTCTCAAGAGGGAAGTACTGGAGCAGGAAGTATGATTAAGGGTAGGTGGCTTGAGATAGCTGCTATGAAAGGTAGAAGACAGTGGATCGGAAAAAGCAGAAAGGTTGGCTGGGCGAAAGGGAGTGGTCAGCGAAGGCTGGAGATGGTGACGTGGCATCAGTCTGAGAAGGTGAATGCTCCCCTCTAGTATTGCCTAGTAGTCCTTGTGGAGATGCAAAGAAGATAGGCAGTGAGGTACATTCAGGGCTGGGGCTTTGCTAGACAGGTGCAGTCAAATAACAACAGAGCAAGATGGGAATATAGAAGAAAGACATGTATATTTAGTAAATAGTTCTTGCAGTGAGAGGAGATATATAATATTTGGTCCCTGACCTCAAGAAAAAATTTCATATGGTTGTCCAAAAGTAACACAAATAATGACTGGTATAACTTGCTTCCAGAAGCTAGATAGCTTCTAGATAGTGGCTATCCTTTGAAGAGTTGTAGAGCTCAGAAGCGAATACCATGGGGGTGGGGGAGGGGTGAGGCTTTGGGATATTGGTTTTTTATCTGGATGTTTGTTGCATGGGAGTATTATGTTTATAAAAATTCAGTGAGAGTATACTTATGACATGTACATATATATGTATATAGATATATTTCTATAAGGTATTTAAAGAAATTGATGTAAAATTTCTATAAATAATATGAAACATACCTAATGAGCACAGAGGTAAATGTCAAGTGAATGTTACAAAGAATTAGTGCTATTTGAAATTCATAACAGAAATTACTGAAATAAGCCAGATGGAGAAAGACAAATACCATGTAATTTCACTTATATGGGTAATCTAAAAAAACTAAACAAATAAAACAAAACAACAAAACAAAAACAAACTCATACATACAAAGAATGGACTGGTGGTTATGAGAGAGGAAGGGGCATGGGGGACTAACTACGTGGTGATGGGTGGTAATTAGACGTATAGTGGTGAAGACTTTGTATTGTATACAGATATCAAATTATAGTGCTGTACAATTGAAATATATAGTCTTTTTTTATTGTGTATTTATTCTTCATGTTTATTGATTTATTTATTTATTTATTTATTTATTTATTTTTAGAGAGAGGAGAAGGAAGAGAGAAAAGGAGGGAGAAAAACATCAATGTGTGGTTGCCTCTCATGCGTCCCATACTGGGGACCTCGCCAGCAACCCAGGCATGTGCCTGGACTGGGAATCTAACCAGTGACCCTCTGGTTCACAGGCCGGCACTCAATCCACTAAGCCACACCAGCCAGGGCTGAAATATATATAGTCTTGCACACCAATTTTACTGCAAAAAAACTTAATGAGAAATAGCTATGGTTTGCAGTAGTTGCAAAAATAATGGTGCTACTGAGCATGTAACCACATGACTGTCACACTATAGCCAGTTACACACACTAGTTTATTTAATCTTCAGGTCAACCCTATAGCTAGATGCTGATATTATTCTCATTTTAGGATGAAGGCATTAAGAGTCAGAAAGTTTGATTTGTCCAATTCTACCTGGCTTTTCAGTAGTGCAGCTGGAATTTAAACCTAATCTACCCTATTGCACCTAAGTTCCTACTGCCTGTAGAAAAGTCAGGAGAGGATCCGTGGAGGTTTGGGATTACATGGGGAGCAGAAAGTAGAGGAGAAGGCAACCAGAGCGGGTAATGCAGGATTTACAGGCAAAACTAGGCACAGAGGCAGAGAGTCAGCTTTTCCTGAGGCCAAGGGACGTAAATCATCTTTGCTTTAATCACCTTCAAAATCTTTCTGTGGGCAGTCTCAGGAAAAAATTGCCTGAGAAATGTGTGATGTATCTGCCTGTCTGTTAAAACAACCATAGGAGATATAAAACCAAAAATAACCTATTAAATCTGTTCAAAGTAAAAGCTGTTTTCTTTTAAAATACATACATAGCAACTTAAAATTATCATGAAAATGACCCCCTAGCTGAGAAACAACATGTGTCTGTTGTTAGCACAAACATTTCATCAATACACATTGGTTGTTCTGCTGTTCACAAACTCATAGTTCTTCTACGCTTGTAGGCTATCTACCTGCACTACTGAAAATAGAAATCTGCCATTTCAATAGACTAAAAAAACACCATCAGTACTACTTTCGAAGCGAGACACAGCTAGCTTCCTCATATGTACTTCTGACCTCAGCTGCTGCTCTCAGGGACACAGTGAAGAGTTTAGTGTCATCTGGGAACTGCAGCCATTAAGGATTATTATATTGCTGAGTGATAAGTCAACGTAGAGAAAACTACCCAATTGTTTCCTCTCTCACATTGCATACCAGCCTTTTAGTGCCACTCTCTGCCACAGCTTAAAGTCTCAGGGTTAGAAAGAAACTTTGCAAAAGGTGGCTAGAAGCATCCCCTGCCCAAAGCAACGTAGAGATTTCCCTATTGGGCCCACCTCCCATCCAACTCCAACTCACTAGATCTCACATTTGATTTGGATTATACCCCTGCTGAGAACATCAAATCTCAAATGGAGGACCCAAGGGGTTCAGCAAAAAGGTCACCAGATGCCATCTTAAAGGTCTGCCAGCCTTGGCAGTCACTCAACGCTACTGATTTCCAACTGTGTGCTATCTAATAGGCCCCAAACCCTCTAGAGAAGACAGCCCAGAGTGTGCCAAGGCTGTGAATGGGGATCTAATTTCAGTAAATGAAACCATGTTCTTATTTGAAAGCAATAACAGATAATCAACACAACCCAACTTTTGTTTAAAAAGACAACAACAAAATTAAAAAATGGGACTTGAAGATCTCTCCATACTCCATGGAGAAGCTCTAATGTGAAGCCTGTGCTAATGTAGCAAATGTTATTGTGATAAAATGTGAAGGGTTTTCTTCTTCTTTTTTATTAATTCCATGAAGCTACACCATGT